CAATTTTGAACGAAAACAAGAAAAAGAAAGAAAAAGAAGAAGAAGNATGAGTATTATCAGGACGTAAAGTACAAATACGACAATCATATTGAATTTTTATTTCTTTACGAGAGGTATCAAATATAGAAAATACGTCAGAATGAGCTTTCCTAAAAAACAACCAAGTTACACGAGAATATTCATCCGTAAATGACACAAAATAAGATATTTATTAGATGAAATATTCTTTATTGGACTCCATACATCAGAATATACTAATTCAAATGAACTAAACACACGATNTTAGATCAAATTTAGGATTCAACTCGCTTTGATACTTTGTTAAGTTTAGAGAGTTAACACAATATTAGAGAAAGACTGAGAGTGGTCAAAAACCTAACCTACCNCGATTATTGACTCTATACTGAAAAGACATACAGTGATGCTTACTAAGTTGACAAACTTCACAAAATATATATGACATAACTAAGATTTGAAACTTGATACTTTAGATTTTGGAGAGGGATGATCAGGACGACAATGCCATTGAAAAGGAGATGACGAGGTCTGGAGTGCCCTAGGAGTTTCATCAAGTCCAAAATAATAGAGACCATTGGCTTTATGTCCCGTACCAATTTTTCTCTTCGTCTGGAGATCCTGAAACACACAATAAGAAGGATAAAAGGTTACAGAGCAATTAAGGGAATGAGTAATCTTGCTAATAGAAAGTAAACTAAAAGACAACCGAGGGACAAATAAAATGGATGATAAAGACATATCAGGACTCAATTAAGTAGTCTCCAAACCTAAAACTTTAGAAGAAGTATTGTTAGTAAGAATAACACTATGTGTGGAAGTAGCAGATTAATAAGTAGAAAAGACACCAGACGCACCAGTCATGTGGTCAAAAGTGCTGAAGTCTATAATCCAGGGACTGCGACTGGAGGATAGTAAACAAGTAGAAGCGGTACCTGACTGGGCAAAAGTAGTAGTGAATGGAACGACTTGTTGCTGAGATAGGAACTGAGCATACTCTTCTCGTGTAAGAGTAACTGACCTAGAGTTAGGTGGAGCCAATTGAGATATAAAAGTAACAACTGAGGTGTCATTTTGATAGGAAATCTGATTAGCAACGCCCAAAGGCTTGCCATGTAAATCCTAATAATAATCAATAGTATGGCCTCCACGACCATAATGAGTGCATGAACGAGAACCTAATCGGCCTTCGTGACCTCTATTATGGCTTCCAATACGGCCTCCCTGACAACCACCATTGCTACGGCCACGCCGAGATTTATCACTATGGCCTCTAGCGACAACAACAGTTGAGCGATCAGTGGGCACACCGTGATCAATGCTGGAAGAGCCAGTAGAGAAAGTAGCACGCTATAAGTGGGAGAAAACCTTATGTAGAGATGGAAGACTGGAGCTACTCAAAATCTGAGAGCGAATAAACTCATATTTAGGTTTCAAACCAACCAAAAAATGAACAACATTCAAATCTTTATGTTGTTTCTGTCAAATTGCTGCATCAGTCGTAAATGGGTGGTAGAACTTTAATTCCTCACAAACTCCCCGAACATGAGAGTAATAATCCTTAAGATTCAAAGTATCTTGCTCTAGGTAAAAATAGTGTTTGCACACCGTATATGCATGAGTAAAATTACTTGTGCCAAAATACATGGTGGTCAAGTGATCTTAGATCTTTTTGGCCTTGTCGAGGTAAAGTAGAATAGAACTGATACTGGCCTCAATGCTATTCAATAATAATGAAATAATTTGAGCATATTCCTGTTCCCACTTATCATATATAGGAGTACTTCCTTGGTTTTAGTGTTCACTAAATATTTCTTGAAGCCTTTGTCTTTGAGAAACACTTGAACCGATTGTGACCATAAAACATAATTAGTCCCATGACTCCCATTGAGTTTAACAGAGGTTGTTGGAAGAACACCAAAGATTGTTGAACCGAACCAAAAAGGTCACTGAACCGGACCAGAAAGTTCACTGGTACGCTGAAGCGATGACCGGATGCCTGAATCAGACCTGAAACACCTGCTGGATGCCTGGACCGGGCTTGAAAAACCTGTTGGATGCCTGAATCTGGCCAGGGAACCTGAACTGGACTAGAAAAGGGGGATGTACTGCAAAACCGATGTAGAACCAGTGTGAAGGGTTGAACAGAGTTGAACCGATCCTTAACCGGTCTGAACATGAGGAAGTTGAGCTGAACCGGTCTGGCTGGACTAAACTGAAACTTATTGGCTGGATTGGACCAGTCTGCGGATTGGGCCCAGACTGAACTGGGCAGGACTATTCAACAAAACCCTAGTTTCAAAAGTGCTGCCTCACACCAGCACAATCAGCACCACCATGCCACCATAACGGACCTTTGACAACTAGTACCACGTTGACGGCGACGCAACATCGCCACCACAATAGAACTCCGACGACCAGCACCACCACGACAATGATGTAATGCCACCACCACCACAACAACCCAACACCACAGCAAAACAGGAGACCTCCGGCAACACCACCACAACAATGCAACAGCACGCCGAAATTGGAGACTTCTGGTAACACCACCACAATGGCTATAATAGGCGGACCTCAGACGATGCAATACCACCACCACCACAACAGATCAAGATTGATTTTCACAGCACACCCACACTGTTTTAGACATTAAACCATCACCCATGACCCTAGACTATAGTCATGGGAATTAAGACCGAGCCAACAATTTTGAACGAAAACAAGAAAAAGAAAGAAAAAGAAGAAGAAGATGAAGTTCTTAGATCAAATCCTAGATATTAAAAAACATTCTTAGATCAAATTTAGGATTCAACTCGCTTTGATACTTTGTTAAGTTCAGAGAGTTAACACAATATTAGAGAAAGACTGAGAGTGGTCAAAAACCTAACCTACCTTTCACAAATCACTTGTATTTATAGTTAACTCCTAACCATACAAACGACGTGTATACCCTCTAGTGGTATACTTATTACAATCAGTATTTACATAATGCTCTTAACACTTTTAATCATAAGGACTTCGTCATCTACAAAAGAGTACTCTATCTTAATATGTAGTGGAGTAATCATGATGTTCGTGATGTGGTGGTGCTGGCTATGGTGGACATTATAGTCGTTCTAGTTGTGGTAGTCATTCTTATTGGAAGTGTACATATTGCAATGGCATAGGACATACTGAGGATTATTGTTGGGATATATATGAGAGACCAATATATGCTAATCAGGCTTCTTATGATACTTTAGGTTCTCGAATGCATTTATTTCTGGTTCTTATATTAATCTTTCTTTTTAGCTTAATCAATTCATCCAACAGTTATCTTCACTTATTCCACAGATGTCTACTCTTGCCATTATTTTTGCTAGTATAGGTAACCTTAAATGTGTTGTTACCCATCCTTTTTCATCATCTTAGGTCATTGATTCAGGAGTTAGTGTTTATATATCTGGTATTATTTCTCTATTATCTAATTTTTGTTTGTCCAATTCACGTATTGTGTTAGCTGATGTTTTTTTTCGACTAGTACATGGGATTGACGATTTCCGTCCCACTCAATCTATGCCGTTAACCTTTGGTTTGTTTGTTTCGATTTTTTTCTTTAACTTGTTATCTGTGAGTCAGTTAACTAATTCCTTACAGTGTTTAGTAAATTTTTTTTTCCATCTTGTGTTTTTTAGGGCCTCAAGACAAAGAATGTGATTAGTTCGGGGTGTAAGAGTAATGACCTTTATTATTTGGATCTTGGAGGTTTTGTTCTAGCCTTGAATGTTATTGTGTCTTCTCTCTGGTGGCATTTTCGACTGGGTCATCATTCCTTTAAGAAGTTGCATCAAGTTATCCTTAGTTTGAGTTCTTCCTTTGTGTTAGAATGTGAGTTATGTCAATTAGTCATGCTTCACTGTAGTTTTTTTCCTCCTAGTTTTTCATATCGTCTGCCTAGTCCTTTTCATAGTTATTAATATCGTACGATACGTCATGATACACAGTGAAAACGATATGAATCGGGTCTCTGTATCGTTTTTGCATAATATCGTCCGATACACGATACAGTTCTTACGATATGAGATGTATCGTTTGATACACACGATATGCCAAGTCTATTTTAATTTTTATTTATTTTTGGGTTGAAATGACGTTGTTTCACCCAAGGCTTATTTTTTTGTCCCTATAGCCGGTGAAACGACGTCGTGTTAGTGGGTAGGGGCCAAATATCGTGCCATGACCTATACTGGATGTGAGATATTGTGGGTTCGCTTTCTACTTCATGAGATGGGTGTTGATGTGCCGTCTCCTATGCTGATGCATTGTGACAGTCAAACAACCATTTTTATTGCCAGTAATCAAGTGTTTCATGTGTGTACTGAACACATCGAAGTTGATTGCCATTTTACTTAGAATCTCCTTAATGCGAGAGGAGATTATCACTCCTTATGTTAAGTATGGTGATCAACTCGGGGATATTCTTACCAAACCATTGGTGCAGTCTATATTTAGTAACCTTTGTTTCAAGTTGGACATTTTTAATCTCTATCCTCTAGCTGTAAGGGGAGTGTTGGAGATTTACTTTATTATTATGTTGCTTTCCTATTGTTAGAGATTTTCATTTCTCTTTTACTTTCTTATTATGTTCTACGTTCCTAATATTGTAATTGTTTTCAATATCAATCTAATATGCATAAGTGGTAGGTTGTTGGTAACACATCATATACACATTATTTTCTCAATCGCTCTCTTCTTGTTCTTCTTCTTCTTTCTCCCAAACGTAAACCCTAATACTTGATTATTTGGGTTTCAACTGGATAGATAGAGAATAATCTAGGTGATTTGTCTTGATGGAATTGAGATGTCCAGTTTTCCACATACTATTTTTTTCTTTAAAGATTCACAAAGATTATATGTTTTACATTTCTTCCACTATATTGAATTTATTGCATAATTGATATGATACTTGAAAAATGTAGTCTCATGATTGATATGAAAAACTCATGCGGAGATTTGTTGAACAGGAGTTTCTTCGTTCAAGCCATGCCCGAAGGCGGTATTGGGCAAGAAGCTATGCTGGATGGAGACGATTCACTGCAGCTCGGCCCAGTGCAGCCCATATTGCTTTAGCATCTCTAGAGAAAGCCAGCCGCATAAATTTTATGATAACACAAAATGTTGACCGGTAACCACATTTTTTTCCCATACTTTTCATTTTGTAATTCTACAGGTGCCATGAATAAGTCTAATGAACTACATCATCATCTCTTGTCCCAGGTTGCATCATCGTGCAGGTAGCAACCCACTTGAATTACATGGGACGGTGTATATTGTTGTTTGCTTAGACTGCGGTTTTTCTTTTTGTCGGAATTTATTTCAAGAGGAAGTGAAGGCCTTTAATCCTAAGGTTAGTCTTCTAATGTAAAAGACGTTTCCTGGTAGTGACTGCATAGTTGAACCTAAAGATAAGTTGATAGCCAACAAAATGAAAGGAGAAGAAAAGAAAGACAAAGAGTGACTGAGAAGTGAGAGTAACAACATAAGGGTTCTAATGTATTCCCCATTTATACTGATTTTGGTATGAAGACATAATTGCTAGAATATCCAACCAAAACTACTTGACTATGGGTGGAGAAGCTCTTTAAGTATATAAACCAATTTGGATGGTGTTAGGTATTGGATGTGGGATACAAGTCTTCTTTACAATAAGTATCCACAGAAAATAAATAGTAAAATATTTTTAATACTCTTCCTCAAGCTGGTGCGAAGCTATCACACATGCCTCACTTATTTAAACCTTCGTATACTTTAGTTTTGTACTAAACTTCTGTGAACAAAGTGCAAATTGGATGTCTGTTTATACAATTTATGAAAGTACCTAAATACTCTCTTGGTTTCCTTTAATTTTCACTTCAATAATCTCCTTAAATCCTTTGAGTTTTTCTCCTTGATTATCTCTCTCTACATTCAAACTCCTTCCCTAATTCAATGGCCTTTATCTCCAATCCAATATAGTGGGAAGATCTTAGCCATAAAAGATGATTCTTGAGAGTACCATTGTTTATGTGCTCAAAAATTGTTATAATCTCATTCTATTCATTGCAACAGCCTACAACCTATGAGGGACAGCAAATAGCGGTGACGAAACCGAGATAACATTTCAATTTTAGTTTGGGATCCTACTAATCCTTGTTGAGATTGAGACACTTCTCGCTTCACTATCACCTTTGTGTCATCCCTTAAAACCTCCTTGTTTAAACCTTCCCAAAACCTTCAATGCCAATGACCAAAGTTTCACTGAAATTATCATAGCCTCTTGAACTGTCATAAAAGGAATGCAATACGGCTTTTTGATTTGAAAAGGATGAAAGTTCTCTTGGAATGTTTACTTTGGTGAAAACTTTTGCCTCAATTCATGGTGAAAGCATTCTGTGTGGAGTGATTGATATGTGCGTGTCTTCTACTTCCGAATACTAAGAAGAGATTGAAAGCTAGAATAAAAAAAAAAAGCCCCACTTACTGAGTCCCCCATCACCTAAAATTGTCCATACCATCAAGGCTGGCCTAAACTTGTTTTTTTTTTCATGATCCATATCATTAAGAATGACATTTGAATAATCAATTATACACATCACAAGGGCCAACACTTAGGTTGAGCTTACCATGTTTGCTTGATCTTGTGTTGGCATCCATGTAATATGGCACGCCCAAGATGTTTGATGCTAACCGACTAAGATCAATAGCCATGGCAAAAACCAAGAGTTAAAATGAACATTGAAGAACAGTTTATTTAGGAGCAGGACTTACTGTTACAAGCTATTTAGACTCTTATTTTTTATCTTTATTGATATAAAGAGTACTTTTGTCCTTTGGATATTTGAACTATAAATATAAGTGATAGAGGGAGATAACCCTAACACTCTCTTCTCTTTTTCAAGTGTCTTTCTTTTCTTTCTTTCTTCTGTACATTTCTTTTCTCTTTACATTAATTCAATATGGTATTAGAACAGGTTATGTGATTCTCAGATTCATCTATGTTAAGAGTATTATTAGAGGATTATTATGTAAATATTGGTTGCAATAAGTATACCACATATAGGGTATACTCGTCTTTTGTATTATTACGAGATAACTATAAATACAAGTGGTTTGTAAGAGGTAGGTTAAATTTTGACCACTCTCCGTCCCTCTAATATTGTGTTAACTCCCTAAATATAACATGGTATTAGAGTAATTGATCTAAAGATTGATCTTGAATTTCATTGAGTATTGAAAATATTGAACCAAGCAATATTGTCTAAGAGTGTGGATGGTGTCTGTGAACAGCAAGCTACCCTATCTATTGGTTTTTCGCCTTTAGGCATTGATCATGGTGTTTCCACTGACCGCTCAGCTCTTGTTGTTCTTACTGGCCACAATGATAGTCCTCGGGGTGGCCATGGTAATCATGGTGGTTGTGGCATTAGGGGAGGCCGTATTGGTCTTCGTTCCCGCATTCATTGTGGTTGTGGAGGGCACACTGTTGATTATTATTAGGATTTACATGACAAACTTTCTAGTGCTGCTAATCAAGTCTCCTATTAGGATGACACTTCCTCTCTACCCGTCCTTATCTCAAGGTTAGCTTTGCCTAACTCTGAGCTAGTTACTATCACCCAAGAGGAGTATGCTTAGTTCATGTCTCAGCAGTAGTCTGCTCCATCTTATTCCACTGTTACTTTTGCTCAGTCAGTTATCACCTCCACTTGTTTACTGTCCTCTACCCGTAGTTCCTGAACTATAGACTCTGGCGTTTCTGACTACATGACTAGTTTATTTGGTGTCTTTTCTACTTATCATTTTGTTCCTTCCCCACACAGTGTTACAGTTGTGACGCCCCTAAAACCAGGGGTCCCGTTGACAACCCGTCAACCCGCGGAATGCCTGTGAGTGTCACTTGAGCTGACATCTCACCAATAATATCCCAATACTTGGGATTTTAACTCACACGTGTTACCCGTGTTTTGTTATTCATTTACCCCAATATATCTCTTTTAAGGTTCATTTGTGTCAAGGGAACTAAGGAAATCAAGGTCCAAAGGCATAGCAAGAAATAAGAAATTTTCAAAGTTTGGGGGAGTGTACCGGTACGCCGTACCGGTACGCTAAACTCTTTGAACAGTACTGTACCGGTATGCCATACCGATATGCTTTGCCCACTTTGCAACCATGTTGAATGTGTGGTGAAGATATGGACACATTACATGAGGATTTGGAGGCTTAGAAGTGAAGAAATCAAGGAAGTCTTTAGTGTTTGGTAACAAAGACACCAACACTAGCACCATCTGGTGGAAGTACCTCAGTGTTCCTCCATTTTTACCATGATCCACTCAGAATTTAGAAAAGTTCAAAACAGGAAAGTTGTAGATCTAGATGTTTTTTGTATTGTGTCAAAATTTCAACTCAATCCAACAGTTGGATCAAAAGTTATGACGATTCTACGAAAATTGGTCTGGAGCAGAAAAGTGTACCGGTACGCCGAACTCCAGGAGGTTTAGTGTACCGGTACACAGTACCGGTATACTTTACTAAATGCCCAAAATTTTCTGTTTCATCAATTTTTCATTTTCAATTCATCCTAACTCATTTCAACATCATATAAAACTTGTATAATGATGTTTAATACATAAAACATGATCCATACCAGGTTATTACAACCCATTCCATATAATTACAATTTAAAATGGAATATAACCTAAGTTTTTATACAAAACTTGTTTCAAAAAGCCACAAATCGGCTTTTCTTTATCTTTGAGGCCTCGAATGTGAGTCCTCTATCGGTACGAACCTCGCACCTGAAATATCTTCCCGTATAGGGTGAGCCAACGCCCAGTAGAATATTTCCTACAGAGGCTACTCCCCAACCTAAGTGCATATGCAATGTTCATATACGACATTTTTCAACACAATCATTCCAACCAATGTTTATGCAAATCAATGTTGGAATCAACAAATCATGCCATAATATGAGATGAGACCCACTCATACAATTTAACCTCGAGCCTTCACCGACTCCTACTACACAATGTAATGCGCATGTGTAATGAATCTGTCAATTGACGAAAAATGCATCAAATGATTGTTTAAAAAAAAGTGATGCATTTATCAAACCAAATCAATGTGGATGTTACCCATTAAATGGATATTTTTATAAAACAAAATCTTGCGTCTTTGTTGGGTAATGGATTTTGGAATCTCACCGCTGGCTCCGTACGCCTTTCTACACTTTTTGGACTTGCACCAACGGAGTGTATGAACCAGTAGTCGGGCCTTGCACCCGAGGACGTGTCTAGCTCTTCTTGGTATACCTGACACAAGTTTTCTTTTCATGCATCCGTGGAACTCTGTTGAACCGAGGTCCAACGGTACCAAGCCCACTTGTCATCCACCGAGGAAGGTGTTTGACCCAAACCATGCACTCACACCCATGAAATGCGATGTGTTCTCCGTGCATAATACAATGTAATGAACTATTACACTATTAACATCATGTTCAATGTAATAAATGCCAATGAACAAATTTTAAACCACATGTCTACATGTTCCATAGAGATTCATATCATATGCATATAAATTTCATAAATCATCACAATATCAATGTCTGAATGAGCATATATCAACATTTCTTTCCAACACATTTTCTAAGCATGTTATACATCATCATGTCATAACAACTTAATCCACACATAGGCATTTTAGCAAACATCTTTAAGGCAACATTCACAAAGCATAATATAAGACATAGCATGCTTATATAATCACTTTTCCCATGGAATTACCAAACAAGCAATTTCCACCTCATAATTTCGAGCTGGGAAATTCAATTCCAACCCATTACATACTCGTTTTCCATACCCATTTCACCCATGTCATATACATAAATGAGTAAAATACATATTCCCTTTTAACCCACACATTTCATATAACACTACAAGTGAAAAATGAACCAAAGTAGGATAACCCCTACCTCTTGAAGCGTAAAATGACGTTGAGAAGCCCCAAGAACCCAAAACAATCTTGAATCCTCACTTCCCCAAAATCTTGTTTTTCAACCTTCGGTGAAACCCGTCGTTTTTGGTGTGGTCGCGTAGCCCTTGGCAAGGAGAGCAATTTTTCCTCTTGGCCCAAGTGAATCCAAAGCCCGTGGAGTCGTAGATCGTAGAGAGAAGTGGAGAGCTCCTCCCTTTTTTCCTCTCTTCCCCTCTCACGTTAACCGGTTGAAGAAATGGGAAAAAAATCTGATTTTGTTTTCTATTTATACTTTTAGGATACTTGGCCCATAATGCGCCACACGACCTTTTTGTTTTCGGGTCCGTTTTTATCTCGAAATGATTAAATTTCGTCCCGGTTCAAGTTCAAATTAATTTTTTTTAATTTGCCTTTAATTATTTCCCAAATTTTGAAATTTTATTGAAAATTCTGTTTTTGGGTCATCCAAGACTCGGTCGCCACGTAAAACACGAAAATTCGACTATCTCGGAATTTGATGTGGTAACTAGATTTCGTGAGACGAATCAAACGGTGAGGTCCGTATTGACACCCGAGATCTAAAAAAATTTAAGTTTTCAACCCGTACTGTAACGGAAAAATTACCGTTTTGCCCTTGTTTTCAAAAGTTTAAATTTATTGGGTTTTACAACACTTGCTAATGATACTTCTTCTAAGGTTACAAGTTTGGGGACTACTCAATTGAGTCATGATATATCCATATCCTTCGTCTTATTTGTTGCTCAGTTTTCTTTTAGTTTACTTTCCATTAGCAAGATTACCCAATCCCTTAATTATTCAGTAACATTTTATCCCTCTTATTGTGTGTCCAAACGAAGAGGAAGATTGGTATGGGATATGAAACCGTGGTCTCTATTACTTTGACATTGATCCACCTACTTAAGCACTCTAGACCTTGTCATCTCTCTTTTAATGGTGCTGTCATCTTGGTTATCCCTCCTTCCAGAATCGGAAGCGTTAAGTTCCAAGCTTTAGCTATTTGTCGTCTATGTCTTATGAAGCTTGTCAACTTAGTAAGCATCACCGTGTGTTCTTTTAGTCTAAAGTCAATAATTGTGTGTCTAGTCTATTTGAGTAAGTGCATTATGATGTATGAGGTTCAATAAAGAATATTTCATTTAATAAATATCCTTATTTTGTATCATTTGTGGATAGTTATTCTTGTGTGACTTTGTTATTCCTTATGAAATTTTGTTTTGACTTAATTTTCTATATTTGAGACATTTCTTAAAGAAATAAAAATCTAATATAGTTGTCGTATTTGTATTTTACGATTTGATAATGCTTGTGAATATGAATATAATCTCTTTTCAGTTTATCTTAGTGAAACTGACATTATTCATCAGATTTCTTGTGTTTACACCTCTCAGCAAAATAGTGCCGCTGAACGCAAGAATCGTTATCTGTTGGAAATTACCCGTGCATTATTAGTCCAGATGAATGTTCGTCGTTATTTTTGGAGTGATGTTGTTGTCATTGCTCATCACCTTATTGATCGTATGCCTTTTTCTATGTTAAATAGACAAAGTCTATATTTTGTCATTTTTTCTAGTAAGCCCTTATTTTTCTAACTCCTAAGATTTTTGAGTGTGTCTGTTATGTTTATAGCTTGAGACCTGAGTTTGATAAACTTGACCCTCGTACTACCAAATGTGCCTTTTTTGGATGCTGTCGCACACAGAAGGAGTATCGTTGCTATAGTCCTATCCTTTGTCGGTACTTCACTAGTACTGATGTCACTTTTAATGAATCTGTTCTATATTTTTTGACACTTGCTTAGCCTCTGGATGTTAGCTTTGGGTCGTACCCTACACCACGGCCTCTTCCTTTATCGTCGGTTATTCCACTGTTTACTATGCTACTATATACTTCTCTGCTCCGTGTATACTCAAGAGTTGTCCAGTGATTTGGAGTTGTTTTTCTTGGTCTTTTTTGGCTTCAAGAGGGGCGACAAGCATGTTTTTTGGCATTGGGCAATTCGTTTTGTGCTTCTTTGTGATATTTAGGTTTGATTAAATGCAAGTTTGAGATATTAGTAGTGTTTCTTGTTATTTTTTGGTTTTTTGAGCCATTCGGCGAGTATCTGGCCTTTAAGAAGAGGTAGAAATCAGATTAAATATATCGGAACCTAGTACGGTCTCTCAAAAATAGTCAAAAAATGTTGAAAGTCAGAATGGACTTCAAAGTGAAAATCCCAACCTACAGATTATGATAGTGAAGCTTGATGGATACAATTACCTTGTTTGGTCACAGTCGACTATGTTGTTGTTTAGGAGTAAGGGAAATAGGGTTTACTTGACTAAAAAAACTGAGGAACCGAAGACACATGATCCACATTATGATAATTGGGAGACTGTCTCAGCTATTACACTCTACGCAGCTAGAGATTNTAAAAAAACTGAGGAACCGAAGACACATGATCCACATTATGATAATTGGGAGACTGTCTCAGCTATTACACTCTACGCAGCTAGAGATTAGTAATGGCTATTTGTTTCTACGTACTTCCATGGAGATTTGGGAGGCCATATCACAGACCTACTTGAAAATTAGCAATGGCTATTTGTTTCTATGTACTACCATGGTGATTTGGGAGGTAAAATCATAGACCTACTTGAAGATGGGAAACATGACACAACTTTATAAGTTGAAATGTNTGATTTGGGAGGTAAAATCATAGACCTACTTGAAGATGGGAAACATGACACAACTTTATAAGTTGAAATGTCAGATTCACAATACTAAGCAAAAGACTTCTTCTTTGGCGGCTTATTTCATACCTTGCGGGGGTTATGGAAAAAATTGGATTACTTGACTTGGAGTGTGCTAAAGATGCCTTAAAACTACATAGGTTGAATGCACAGGAGAGGATTATTGAGTTTTTTACTGGCTTGAATCTTGAGTTTGATCAAATTAGGATTCAAATCCTAAGGAAGGAACCTCCCTACGGGAGGTATATGCTTATTTAAATTATAGGAGAGCAGGTGAGGGATTATCTTCATCCTATGCCCAAGGAGAGTTCAACCCTGACTACTGTCGCTTCTCATGATAGCCGGCTGGGAAGTAAGGAAGTTAAGAGAAGATGTGCAAATGATGTTACACCTAACAGCACAAACAAGTTGTATTGTAATTATTGCCATAGGCTAAGACATAATAGAGAGATTTGTTAGAAATTACATGGTCGTCCTCTGTTTGGAGGTAGAGGTAGAAGATCAGGTCATAGGAGAGGATCTTGAGCCCATCTTATAGTTTTAGTGGAGACTTGTTCAATTGGTCCTGATCTTTCTTCATCATCTATAACAAAAACAACGGGTTTTACTAAGGAGGAAGTGGAGAATATATGTTGCAGTATGTCGAAGCTGGAGACACCTACACTACATCCACTTCTTTTTGCCTATACGGGTAACCTTNATCTATAACAAAAACAACGGGTTTTACTAAGGAGGAAGTGGAGAATATATGTTGCAGTATGTCGAAGCTGGAGACACCTACACTACATCCACTTCTTTTTGCCTATACGGGTAACCTTTTACTACATTGAGTGCATCTTGTTTTATTCCTTCTTGCCCCTAGATCATTGATTCTGGTCCCACCGACCATATGACCAGACTATCCATTTTGTTCTCATCGTATGCTGCTTGTGTAGGAAAATAACTTGTTAAAATAGATGATGGTTATTTATCTTCTGTAGTTGGTAAAGGTTCTATTCCNAACTTGTTAAAATAGCTGATGGTTATTTATCTTCTGTAGTTGGTAAAGGTTCTATTCTAGTCACTTCATCTCTATCTCTCTCATTTGTTTTACATGTTCCTAATCTTTTGAACAATTTTTTTTTGTTATTACCAAGAAATTAAACTGTAGTTAACATTCTTTCCTTCACATTGTGTCTTTCAGAACCTTGAGGTGAGGAGAGAGATGGTCTTTACTTTTTGAATTCTTAGCAGGCATGCAATACTAGTATTACCAAGCTCATATGTCAAAAAGATGTTGTACTTCGGAGGAGTAGATATGGCTACTACATTGGAGATTAGGACATCCTCCATTACTTTCGTCACAAATATTATTTCCTTCTTTATTTTCTAGGGTGAATGTCTTTTTATTTCGTTGTGAATTATGTGAACTTACTAAACACTATGTGTGTCATTTCCTATTAGTTTGAATGAATGTACCACACCTTTTACCATTCTTCATACGGATGTCTGGTGACTTTCTCGGGTTGTTAGCTTGTTTGGTTTCCGATAGTTTGTGACATTTATTAATGATTTTTCTCATACCACTTGGGTTTACTTAAAGAAAAAAAAAGAGTATTATCTTATTTCCAGACATTTAATAAGATGGAACTTACTCAATTTAGCACTCAAGGACAACTTGTTCGTTATGATAACAGTGGTGAGTATGTTTATTGGAGACTTTGGTCCTATTTTTCTGAGCATGGTATTATTCATCATATAACTTATATTAATACACCTCAACAATCTATTAGAAGTTACAAGGGTCTTGATGTTTTCTATGAATAGGCCAAGCCATATTGGAGAGATGTTGTCCTTACATCGACATATCTTATTGATATAATGCCTTCTCAAGTTCTAAACTTTCGGTCACTTGTTGAGCTATTATCTTCATCTTTTTGCCCTTTTTTCTCTAATTGTTTTTCAATTCCTCCTCGGGTGTTGGATGTGTTTCCTTTGTTCATATTCTTCCTCGACTTTGACGTAAGTTAGGCCTTAAAGCAACAAATGCATTTTTCTTGGTTATTCTCCTACAAAATNATTGTTTTTCAATTCCTCCTCGGGTGTTGGATGTGTTTCCTTTGTTCATATTCTTCCTCGACTTTGACGTAAGTTAGACCTTAAAGCAACAAATGCATTTTTCTTGGTTATTCTCCTACAAAAGAGTTACAATTGTTTTCATCCTCCTCCGAGTAAAAGATTTGTTTCTATGGATGTCACATTTTTTGAAATAGTAGCCTATTTCTCTCTCAAAGACTTTTTTTCATAGGGAGAATTTAAGTGAAGATATGTCTAGGTTTGTTCTCACATCTATCTTATTGGTGCCTTTCTTTTCATTAGAACAAGAACAGNTTTTTGAAATAGTAGCCTATTTCTCTCTCAAAGACTTTTTTTCATAGGGAGAATTTAAGTGAAGAAATGTCAAGGTTTGTTCTCACATCTATCTTATTGGTGCCTTTCTTTTCATTAGAACAAGAACAAGATAATAATGAGGAATATCGGCTGCAAGAACAAAAGGAATTACTGGTTTATTCAAGAAGACAAAAGGATAAGACCATTTCTAATCCATCACTTTGCCAAATGGCTTCCTTCGGATCAGTTAATCATCCTCTTGAATTTGAGTATGATATTCCCATTGCTCTTCGTAAAGGTGTCAAACTTGTACTCAACACCTAGCTAATTTCTATCTTTGTATTTTCTCTCACTCTCTTATCGAGCTTTTGCATCGTAGTTGTTCTTNTCTTCGTAAAGGTGTCAAACTTGTACTCAACACCTAGCTAATTTCTATCTTTGTATTATCTCTCACCCTCTTATCGAGCTTTTGCATCGCAGTTGTTCNGATATTCCCATTGCTCTTCGTAAAGGTGTCAAACTTGTACTCAACACCTAGCTAATTTCTATCTTTGTATTTTCTCTCACTCTCTTATCGAGCTTTTGCATCGTAGTTGTTCTTTGTGTTTGTTCCTATAGGATACATTGAATGATTTTAAGTGGAAGGAAGCAATGTGTAAAGAGATGAATGCACTTCAGAAAAATAATATGTAAGAACTATTTAGAGTTACCAGTGTGAAAGAAGCTAGTTGGGTGTAAATGGGTGTTTACAGTGAAACATAAGGTTGAGACTCGGTTAAAAGATACAAAGCTAGATTGGTCACCAAGGGTTTTACATATACTTATGGGATTGATTATTAGAAAATATTTGCCTTTGTGGCAAAGATGAATTTCATTCATGTCTTACTTTCCCTAGTAACAAATCGATGTTGGCCTCATCAATAGCTTGATGTGAAAAATGCGTTTCTACATAGAGACTTGGAGGAGGAAGTATATGTGGATGTTCCACCTAGATTTAAATTTCCCACAGATGGTAGTAAGTAGCTATGTATCAAGATTGAAAAAATTATTGTATGTGTTGAAGTAGTCTTCACGAGCATGGTTTGAGTAATGCACCCAAGCTATATTGAGGTTTGACTATCATGAGAGTCATGATGATCATACTTTGTTTGTTAGACAATTTTCCCACATAAAGGTGATTTTACTTATCGTGTATGTTGATGATATCATACTTACTAGCGATGATATAGAGAAGATGGTGGAATTAAAGGCATATTTAGCTCAAGAATTTGAGATAAAACATTTGGGAAGTTTGAAGTATTTTTTAGGCATTGAGGTTATGAGATCTAGATGGGGCATTTTCATTTAACAACGAAAGTATTGCTTAGTCTACTTAAAGAGATATGTATGCTAGGGTGTAAGCTGGTTGATACTCTGATTGAGCAGAATTATAGGTTGGGAAAGAGTGTTGATGATACTCATGTGGATAAAGGTCGATATGAAAGATGGGCAAGCTCATTTATCTGTCTCATACTTGTCGAGATATAGCCTAAGCAGTTAGTGTGGTAAGTCAGTTTATACATTTACATCATAAGTTTCATATGAAGGTGGTTTATGGAATTTTGAGGTATCTTAAATTAACACCTGGTAAATGGCTTCTTGTTTCTAAGCATGATTATTTACAAGTGGAAGCCTATTCAGATGCTGATTGGGCTGGATTAGTTATAGATAGAAGATCAACATCGGGATATTGTACATTTGTAAGAGAAAATTTGGTATCATGGCAAAGTAAAAAAAAGTTGATTGTGGCTAGATCTAGTGCTGAGGTAGAATTTAGAGTTATGACTCATGGTATGTATGAATTATTGTGGTTGTAATTCATATTAGAGGAACTTGGTTTTATTCAAAGGAGTTGATGACATTGTACTGTGACAATAAGACAGTAATTAGTATTGCCCACAATCTAGTTCCGTATGACAAATTCAAGTATGTTGAGGTCGACATACATTTCATTAAGGAAAAATTGAGTACTGGCTTAATTTGTATTCCATTTGCGAAGACTGGGGATCAACTTTCAGATATCTTGACAAAGGGAGTATCTAGTAAAGTGTTCCATTTAATCCTTGCCAAGCTAGGCATGTGTGATATATTTACACTAGCTTGATGGGGAGTGTTAGAAGCTATTTAGTCTCTTATTTTTTTATCTTTATTGTTATCAAGGGTACTTTTGTTCTTTTGATATCTGAACTCTCTTCTCTTTTTCAACCGTCTTTCTTTTCTTTATTTCTTCTCTATTTTTTCCCATTTCTCTTTACATTAATTCAACACTTACAATGTACAAAAAGTGAAACCAGATTAGATAATCGAAACCCATGACCATCTTCTAATCAGGGCTAAGCAAACGCGAGTCGTGGCGGAGGAGATGAAGAAGAAAAGGCATTCCTCGTGGATCCTTATGCCAATTGAGGCTAGCCTTTTCAGGTATTGTGATACCCGTGCTTTAGAATGACAACCATAGTATTCCAAGGATGCGTAAAAAGGATAAATTTCTAAGGGGTTAAGACGGTTGCAGAGAGAGAGAGTCGGTGGTGGTACAGATGGGTGGTTGTGCGTAAGGGAGAGACATAGAAATCATTTGTGGTGTTTTGGGGAATAGAGTACCAAACCTAAAAAATCGTTTCAATTGTCAAAAAATCTATAAATATTTGCTTTTCTGCAAACATGGTTTTCGTGGCATTAGTCATACACACAACTAGATTTAACGTAAATTATGAATTTTGCACATTGGTGATAAGTTTGACAAGGTTTAGTACAAAACTTAAAAAGTATAAGGAGGTTGTTTGCAAATGCACCAAAATGCATTGGTTTTTTTCCTCTAACTTAATATCCCAATGTATGTAGTCGGATCATGCTAAGTTATTGATTTATGCTTTAGCATCACAACGAAATCTAATAGGCTCTTTATAGTCAAAACCAAGTTCTTTCAACAATCTAAAGGGCAACCTAGTGCATAAGGCTCCTACCTTTAACAATATCCTTAAGGAAAACAACTCACAAACTCCATATTCCATAGCTTTGAACTCTGCCTCTTGGCGACATCTAGTTATTGATGAATTGTTTCTCAATATACCATGTCATTGAATTTCCTCCCACAAAAGTGCAATAACTAGATTTTCAATCAATCTTCGAACCAACTCAATCTACATCAGTATATGATTGCACTCGCAAATGGTATATCTTTAAAATAAAAAATCCTTTAGAGGAGTAGACTTCAAATAACGAAGAATGCGGTAAACTATTTCAAAATGTGGATTAGGAGAGGAATATATACGTCAACTCATAACATTAACACCATGGGCTATATTTGGATGAGTGGCAGATATATAAACTAAGGGTAAATTTTGCACCCACCCCCAGACATTTGGTTTTCCCACGCGGATACCCCCCGCATTTCAAAAATTACAAAAAAGGCCTTAGGCAGCTAGGAGCGTATAGAATGGAGGACGCTTTCGGACATCAACAAAGGAATGCTCCAACCTGGTACCAGACCTCACTTTATGATCTCACTTGACTTCTTTTTTGAGAATGATATATTGCTCTCAATCAAACCTGCGTTTATATGACAACATCCTTACCTTAAAAAGATTCTATCTAGCAAGAGGAGCCAAAAAGAGAGGGTTGAAGGCTCTATGTCAAAAGGGAGGCAAAGAGAACCTATAATGTGGGTATCTAGGCTCGAGAAAGCAGGAAAAACCCTTCCTGGAAGATCGGTAACCGAAGACGGGGGAAGTATGAGCGGTGGATTTTGAACTATTGCGAAAGTAAGTCAGCAGCTGGAGGATTAGAAAGTAGGCCGGTCGAATGAGGGAGAGCCAAGCCAGAGGATAAATAAGAAGATTGCATCTTCAAAAGGATGGATGGAGGTGTGGGATCCTATGTAACCATTAAAATAGTTGTCATTGTATAGGATAGTTTCTTTCTCCCATTATTTCAATGCCTCGTTAGAACATCTAAGTTCGCCTTTGATCCCAAACATCAAACGACTTTAACGATTTAGACCAAATTACCATTTTGCCAAGCATTCGTTGATCAAAACTATACCCAAATTCCTTTTTTGGCCCAACAACTACATAGACACAAAAATCTATGGTGGATTTACAATCCATGGCATTTTCTGCCCAAGCAATATTAGAAAAAGCACGAAGCTTCTGTAGTTCCATTGCAAGTTGTCAAAGACCATCTGCTAATGCCCTGTCTTTGTCTTCCTTGTTGTCTTCTAAGCATAGTCCTATTACTTTGGACTCTTTGCTTATTTCTCTTTGGAAAGGTACTTGCTCTCGTGTTACCAATCATCCTTTTAGCAACTTTTTTTCTTATGATGCTATATATCCTTTTTTCTCCTGTTTTATATCTTAGCTATCCATTATCTCTATCCCTAAGACATTATTGGAATCATTATCTAATTCATGTTGGAGGAATGTTATGCAAGTGGAGATGGATGTCTTGCATCATAATGGGAGTTGGGATCATGTTCTATTATCTCGTGGTAAAAAGAGTCTTGGACGCTAGTGGGTTTAAACGATTAAATTTTTTCCATATGATTCAATTGAAATTCTCAAAACCTGACTTGTTGTTAACGGCTTTATTCAGACCTATGACATTTATTATAATGAGGTCTTTTCCCCTGGTACTATGATCTCCTCTGTTCGTATGTTGATTTCTTTGGTTGCTAGCTGTGATTAGCCTTTGCTTAAATTGGATGTTAAAAATGCCTTTTTGTATGGTGAGTTGGTAGAGGAGGTTTACATGGATTAACCACTTGGATAAGGGGAGTATCGTGGCAGTGTGTGCCAATTGTAGAGGCAATTGCATGGTTTGATATGTTTTCAGAGGCAATTGTAGAGTTTAATCTCCTTGGGTGTCAGAAATATTACTTTGTATTCCATTGATATATTGATGCGGGTTACATTATACTTGTTTATGTGGGGATATTGTGATTTCTGACAATAATTTTGAGGGTATTGCAAAGTTTAAAATTTTCTTGCAAGATCGTTTTCATACTAAAGACTTGGGCAAACTTAGGTATTTTTTGGTTGTCACAGTTCTTAGATCTAAGTAGGGTATTCAACTTGTCTTACAGAAATATATACTTGATATGCTAGAAGAAGCATGTTTACTTGGTGGTAGACTGGTTGATTGTTCTATGGATTCGAATTAGAAACTTTTGATGGATGACAATACACTATTTCAAATCCGGGCATCGCAGGTTAGTTGGGAAGTTAAATTATTACACTATTCCTCTGTCAAATATTGCTTGTGTGATAAGTGTTGTGAGTTAGTTCATG